ACCAAACCAAACATTTGTTTACACAATACAAACCAAACCAAACATTTGTTTACACAATACAAACCAAACAAAACATTTGTTTACACAATTCACACCAAACCAAACATTTGTTTACACAATAAACACCAAACCAAACATTTTTTACACAATACACACCAAACCAAACCTTTTTTACACAATTCACCTCAAACGAAACATTTTTTTACACTATTCAGACCAAACCAAACATTTGTTTAAATTCCAAACCAAACATTTTTTTATACTCCAAACCAATCATTTTGTTTACACAATTCACACCAAACATTTACTTACACAAAACACACAAAACCAAACATTTGTTTACACAATTCACACCAAACATTTACTTACACATCCAAACCAAACATTTTTTTATACTCCAAACCAATCATTTTGTTTACACAATTCACACCAAACATTTACTTACACAAAACACACAAAACCAAACATTTGTTTACACAATTCACACCAAACATTTACTTACACAAAACACACAAAATCAAACATTTTTTACACGCCAGACCAAACATTTGTTTACTCTCCAAAACCAAACACTTTTTTACACACCAAACCAAAAACGTGTTTACACGCCAAACCAAACATTTATTTACACTTTAAACCAAACATGTGCTGCTCTTTAAATGTAAGTGAGAAAAGAAATTAGAAAGTTTTTAAATACATAATTTTAGCAGAAATACATTTGTAGCTTTTTCTTTAGCGTGAAACCTATATTTGAACGTTAAATATGTCAGTTGAGAATTTATTTAAGCTCAATTTATTTTAGTATAATTCTTCACATCAAAAATCAATTTAAAAGGTCTGACTTAAAGAGTATACGTCATAGGAGTTAGCTGAGGAGCTATGGATTTGTTTCAGTTTATTTTTATCAAAAGCGATTTTCTATTTTTATATTATTATTATTGTATTAAGGTTGTTTTTGTTTTTATTAAGATGTATTGACGTAGTATGCAATTATGAAAAAGTGATGGGCAGTTTTAACTTTTTTAAAATTATTCTGGGATAAAACAAATGGAAGCAAGTAGTTTTTACAAATCGAAATCTCTCAGAACTATGGTTGCTAAAAGGAAAAAAGCTACCGTACTTATAGCGATTATAGTTATGACACTTGGTTAATTGATGTTGTGTATAATTGCTGTAATACTGTTGTGTTTAATTGTTGTTGTGTTGCTACTGTTGTGTTAAATAGGTGTTGTGTTTAATTGTTGTTGTTTTGCTACTGCTGTGTTTAATTGTTGTTGTTTTTCTACTGTTGTGTTTAATTGTTGTTGTGTTGCTACTGTTGTGTTTAATTGTTGTTGTGTTGCTACTGTTGTGTTTAATTGTTGTTGTGTTGCTACTGTTGTGTTTAATTGTTGTTGTGTTGCTACTGTTGTGTTTGATTGTTGTTGTGATCCTACTGTTGTGTTTAATTGTTGTTGTGATCCTACTGTTGTGTTTAATTGTTGTTGTGTTGCTAATGTTGTGTTTAATTGTTGTTGTGTTGCTACTGTTGTGCTTAATTGTTCTTGTGTTGCTACTGTTGTGTTTAATTGTTGTTGTGTTGCTACTTACAATTAAGTTTAAATGTTTATTTATAATTAAATGTTATTGTTTAAGCTGTTCTGCATTAATTACCTCGTAGACACTCCAGGAATTAATTTCTTTATTTAGTTTTAGAAACAATATATAACACAACATGCTGACGCATATCTTATAAGTATATATATATATTTAGCTTATTTTATATATACATATATACATAAAGTATTTTTTATATAATGTTACGAAGAAAATTTTTCAATTAGCCTATTACATTTTTTCTAAATGATTCTTTTTAGATTTTCTGTTAAGTCCCTTAAATCTCAATCTAGAGCTATAAATTATTAAGTACTAGAAATTCCAGGCGCTTCGCGCCCTTCTTTCTAGCTTTAGAGGGCGCTTCGTGCCCATCTTCTAAATTAGTTGTGAACATGTTCTCTTTGTGTACATCGTAAAACAAAACAAAAATAATCAGATCCTTCAATCAGAATGCATGGATTTAATTCTTAGATATCAAAAATAGGAGGTCGTCTTANGTCCATAAATAAATCATCATTTTTCTACCTGGAAGAAATTCTATCTTGGGCTTTAGTCTCTAGTATCACATATCTTAAATGCTTCATGCTTCATGTTGTTGATTTTAAGTTAAAAATCGATAAAGATAAAGAAAAAAATTCAAAATGACTGAAAATGCTTACATATATTAAATTTTGAATCAGTTTCTCTTGAATTTATTCTAGTAATTTATTTTTGTATTAAAATTTTCGTGAATTTAATTTCAATAAGAAGCTTAAAACTTTTTAAAACATGAAAATATTTTAATACAATTTTCTGGAATTTTTTGATAAAAATTTTTTTTTAAAAGGGATTGTAACCTTCATCTAAATCACTTGTTAGATAGATATCATTCCTTAGATAAAATCAGCAATTGAAAATTGTCAATTTTTAACCTAAAATAAGGATATCTTCATTATTTTTCTCTGTCAACTGTTATAATGGTACCGTTGTGAACTTTACATGTAACCTTTTTAAATTTAGGTCAACCTAAAATACGCCAACATTCCCTTTTTCTCAATGAATACGCTTTAGAATTATATATCGATCCAGTTCAGGGGTAACCCTACTCCTTTTTTTACTCCAAATGTAAATCATTTCATTTCGCAATTGTTTTACGTTTCAAGGATATGATATAAGTTTAGAGGTTGATGCATGACATGTTTATGTCTCCAATATTATAAACAATTGAGACACGTACAGGTCTGCTCGGCCATGCGCGAATTATTTGCTCACATTTCGCATTAGAACATTTTTATTTTCACTTCGGGTCAGGGAATGTACTTACACTCCTTGCTAAATACTGTTTGCTAAGCGGGGGGGGGGGGATATACAATCTTGCCTTATACTTTTCTAGCTAGCCCTTACACAAAATTAGTATAAATGCATAAATTGCAATTTATAAACATTTTTTGATTTTTAAAATTTGAATTTTCTACACATAATACTTTTATCCCAAAACATTCCGAATATTTGGAACTCACAATTTTTTCGAATTCGCATATTCAGTATGAATTTAGTTTTTATATGAATAATGAAAGAGAAAAATCAAAGTAACCAGAAATATAATTGCTCGTTTAAGCTACATAATTGCATTGTATTTTCTATCGTGCATCTATTGACAACGATGCCATCAATGGATTACAAATTTCATTAGTTTTTAAATATTTAGTTTGTTAACGAAATCGATCCCAATCTTAACACAACTTTATAGTATATCTCCGTCAGTTTAAAATATTCTAAGAAGTTAGACTACATTTGGAAAACTCATAAGACGCTCATCTTTTTTTGATGCACTATATTTCATTTATCAATTATCGGAAATCGAAGACGATATTCAAGTCAAGTTTATTGGGACACCCTGTACATAAGCAGCTTGTATGTATTTAGTATGTGTACAGGAAAGATGAAAGTAAACTAAGAAAGTAATGAACGAATAATTAGTTTTCTGAGTGTGGAAGGAATGGAAGAAGGGGGGGGGGAGGTAATCCGGGGGAAGCTCTACATTGAAAAGTTCAAAACTAACTTCCTTCCTAACTTAAATGTTCTAATCATGCAACATCCTCCCTCTACCTTTCCTTTACCTTCTCCTTACCTTTCCTTTACCTTCTCTTTACCTTTCCTATACCTTCTCTTTACCTTTCCTTTACCTTCTCTTTACCTTTACTATCCCTTCCTCCTCCCTTTACCTTTCCTTTACCTTCTCTTTACCTTTCCTTTACCTTCTCTTTAACTTTACTATACCTTCCTCCTCCCTTTACCTTTCCTTTACCTTCTCTTTACCTTTACTATCCCTTCCTCCTCCCTTTACCTTTCCTTTACCTTCTCTTTACCTTTCTTTTACATTCTCTTTACCTTTCCTTTACCTTCCCTTTACCTTTCCTTTACCTTCTCTTTACCTTTTCTTTACCTTCCTTTTACCTTCCCTTTACCTTCTCTTTACCTTTCCTTTACCTTCTCTTTACCTTTCCTTTAACTTCTCTTTACCTTTCCTTTACCTTTCCTTTACCTTTCCTTTACCTTTTCTTTACCTTTCCTTTACCTTCTCTTTACCTTCTCTTTGGCTTTCCTTTTCCTTCTCTTTACCTTTCCTTTACCTTCTCTTTACCTTTCCTTTACCTTCCCTTTATCTTCCCTTTACCTTTCCTATACCTTCTCTTTACCTTTCCTTTGCCTTCTCTTTACCTTTCTTTTACGTTTCCTTTACATTTCCTACACCTTCCTCCTTCCCTTTACCTTTCCTTTACCTTCCTCCTTCCTTTTACCTTTCTTATACCTTCTCTTTACATTTCCTTTACCTTCCTCCTTCCATTTACCTTTCCTTTACCTTTCTCTTTCCCTTTACCTTTCCTTTACCTTCTCTTTACCTTTTCTATACCTTCCTCCTTCCTATAACTTCTCTTTGCCATTCCTTTACCTTCCTCATTCCGTTTACCTTTCCTATACCTTCCTCCTTCCCTTTCCTATACCTTCCTCCTTCCCTTCACATTTTCTATACCTTCCCTTTACCTTTCATTTACCTTTCCTTGCCTTCCCTTTACCTTTTATATACCTTCCTTTACCCTTCACTCTGCTTTTCTCTACCTTCTTCCTTTACTCTACCTTCCTTAAATCCTTCAATTTTCTCTACCTTCTTCCTTTTCTTTACCTACCTGTAATCCTTCATTTCCAGACCCTTTCTCCTTTTCCTTCTTTGACAATCAAATTTTGTATTTGCTTGTTATTTAATAGGTTCCCATTATTTAGGTGCATATGGTAAACTAATGGGCGCAGGAGCTCCTCTTTCTAGCTATAGGTAATATCTACTATAAACTTTGATTCATTTTTTCTGTGTTGCTTTATGTTCTTTCTATTTTCCAGGTACAGCCCTTACCATATGCCTACCTTCTCTAGTGCTGGTATACCTTGCGGGCTGGCGGGCAGCATTCAATATACTGCGGCTAGCCCTGTATCCCAGACCACACCTGCTGTTCTTTCAGCGATCACATCTCCAGCGGTCAACCCGTCAGTGGATGCCCAGGACCAAGCTGCAGCTGCTGCAGGTCAAGCGGCTCTTCAGCAGCATCAAGCAGCAGCTTTCTCAGCGCTTTCCTATCCACAAGCTTATCCTCTTGGTCTACCAGCTATAGACTGGGCTAGCATGTACTCCCTACCAGCGGGCATGTACACGCTCTAGATTGGTTGTAGTACACTTACATGTGTACATAAAATGATATTATAAGTAACTAACTTAGGGAAATACCGCCTCTACAAGAGTGCAATATAAACTACTGCAGCTGTTCCTTTACTTACAGAAATACATACATTGTACAATTCAGCTATTAGGTGTACAGTGTACACTCAGTAGTGTGTACTGACTTCTCAATTGGAAATGCGTTACATCTTTTATCAACTCAATACTTATCTTCATCGCATGTAATGTTCAATACTCTATATAGTACATTTATACAATGTAGAAATGTTCATTGTTTATGTTTTAGCAGTTTGCAAATTTCAATGTATTTTGCACCAACTCATTCCATGTACAGTGTACACTGTACAAAGTATACTATATGTACAATCCAGTTACCATCGTAAATGAACACACTTTAAGATTGTATCCGTACAGTGTACAACAAATATGTGTTGTGTACAGTATACGTTGTGTGGGTACAATGTACACAATGTGAATGTACAGTGTACATCATTATTCAGTATTGAGTGAACTTGAACTCAGTATGATACACACTAGTCAGTTCTACAAGAGTCTTATTTATTTGGAGCTTTTTAATGGTTGTCTGTAGCTTTTAACTGCAGGTACTGCATCGACCAGCCGGATAAATCCGGGAGACTGTAAAAAATGGCGTAATAGCCATTTTATAGTAGCATTTATTGTTTCATAAGTTTTTGTGCCATATTTAAATTGTTAAATTTCTCTCTGTGGCAAAATTTACTTCCACGTTGCCATTTTGTTCAAGAACATGTTTAGGGCAATATTTGTATTAAATTTGACAAATCCAAGTAATTGAAACAAAACAATTTGCCAAAATGTATTGCCAAACACTACGGGCCAAACTCCCATTGAGATTAGATGTAAAATTGCCTGGGCTTAAGCCACAAAGATGCATTTTCCTCATAACAGCAAGCCTGTCTTCCCAACACATGTTATCTATCTATCTATGCACTTGGATATTCTAAAAAGTTTCTTCCTAAAAGCTAAGATTGCTTAGTTTTGCCATTTTATCCGTTTAAAGGATTTTTTCCCGTCTTCGTTCGGAGGCAATCATTTAATGGTTCTAAACAATGTGCTTATTGACCAACCATCAACCTTGCCAATTTTTTTATTTTGAGGTAGGACACATGCCAATTTAATTTGTGATTTCCTAAACTTTGTTGAAACATTGAAACTTGTTGAGTTTGTGGAAATCCTGAAACTTTCTGCCTGCCATTTGTTGAATCTCAATAAAAGAAAAAGCAGCTAAAACATATTAAATATGCAAAATATATATATATATATAAATTTTAACATAGTCAACTTGGGATTAAACATAAACCTCTGAGTGGCAGGCAGAGGGTATTAATGATAAGCAATAATGATGTTGATGTTATTTTTATATGACTTTAATAACTTGAAGAGAAAAAAAAAGTAAGAAAATAAAATGGTTTTCATGAATTCTCACTTAGTACTATACTAGACCTTGTAGTCTATAGTTATAGTATTGTAATAATAGCAAACATAGTAATATATGTAATTTAACGTAGATGGTTTTTGAATAGAATTTAGAATTCACATTGTATTATTGGATATGATGAATATAGTGAGATATTAGATTTAGACTTAGACATGTTTATTTTTTCAACACCAGGGTCCTCGAGTTATAATATGTTTTAGACATTTGTCTAGAAATTATTTAAAGCAATTTTTTATATTTTTTTTTTTCATATGAACATCAAGCAAATAATACATACCATTTTAAGCTATACAAACCTCACAAGGATACTCAATAAGAAGCCATATATTTATACTTATTTATAAATTGAATAATTACTGGACTTATATTGTTGATAATTTTGCTAGATTAAGTTATGATGGCGAATCCACAGGTTTTTTATCACTCTCTACTCGGAGATTTTTCTCAAATTTTAACTGTGAGCTTGTGGATTCCGCCGTGCTATATTTATCCTGTGTGTGTACATCTGTACACAAGTTCCAATGTACACAATATACACAGCTTTTCAATGTTTTCTCTACACTCTGTGTACTGTTCAAGTGTACTATTGTGTACAGTGTAACCTGTAAATAAAAAAACTGGTTTTGGATGTTTCCCGGGCCGGGTCAAAGGCCAGTAGTGAAATAAAAGTAGTAAAGTCTTGTATACTGCTTACATGTACAATCATGTACAGCTATTTGTCTATCAGAGTTGTGAACTGTTCCAGCTGTGCACAGGACGCCGGCACTGACCGGTCTCCATCCCATGTACAGCTGCGCAAGTTGACCGCTCCGCTGCACAGGGTAATCCTTCAGCAATAATTCTTTTATTTCATTACTTCTCGTAGTACACCTCGTAGATTAATCTGTTAATAAAATGTAGAAATGTAGAACAATGTAGTTTTATTAGATGTTTAGATCAGGGTTTAGAACTGTCAGCAAACATGGACGATATTTTCAACATATTTCCTGACTCCTATTCTTCTAGCAGTGTTTCTATTTAGAATGGTGGACTGTGTGTTATGTACACAAGTACATAGTCTAGTTTACCTGTACACTGTACAGTGTACATGAGATAGTAATAAGTGCATGTAGAAAGTAGTAAATCCTTTAGATAAACTTAGGTTTAAAGAATGCATGGAAGCTAACTAGTGATGGGACTAGTTTTTTTATTCGATTAGAAACTACTTTCTATCTTACTTAAAGAGAATATTCACGGAAAATGTGAAGAGTCGGCGATTTAAAGCTTCGGCTCGAGTCGTAATGCCTTAAACCCAGGTTGAAAATCCTACGGGCTCAGTGGATTCAGAATGATGCATGGTAAAATCATGAATCCACGGCTGTTTATGTGGAAAACATGAAAATTCTTAAGCAATATTAGAACTATATCGTGTAGCTAGCAAGGGTTGCCATGGATCTATAAAATATCATGAGAGAGGTAATCTGAGGGAACTGAATCATAAATTAGTATTTACGTAGTTTGTAGTATTTACCCTCTAAAAAAAAATGCCCTCAATGTTTCACAACCTTGATGAGAATAGATTGAGGTTTATCAGTTTGAAGATCTCGAGCAGTTTTTTCTTCTAGTAAACGCTTTTTCTGACATCTTCTAGAGCTAGAACATTGCTGAATAGGTTGTTTGTTTGACCGACAAGGTACAGTGATAAACAGAAAACTCTGAAATAAAAAGACGACTTTTAGACTGAAGTTATGACTTGAAATCCTTGAAATAGTCCAATTAGGATGGAACACAGAATAGTTTGGTGTTAACAGACAAAACAGACCTATTTCACATATTAAGTGATTTTTAATAAGTATCTTAAAATTTATTTGTTTTTTAATTGTAAGAACATTAAATAAAAGTATTGCCTTAAAGTCGTCTTCCTATGTCAGAACTTTCTGGTTATCACTGTATAAAAAGTGCGGCGCCAGCTATCCAAAGAGACTCAGAATGGTTTGATATGAATTATTGACACTGTTTCATTGAAGGTTATACTTACAAATAATTTACATAATGAGGTGGCTGCAGTGCTCGGCCCCCTGACCTGTCCTCTCCTCGGCCACTGTTCCTGACTTACCGCTCCGCTCAGAAATGTTCTTTAAATTTTCTTCCAGACGGAAGTGGTAGCCTTTCCCATTTTTTACTTGTTATTTGCTTTATTTTACATTTTTTAAACTGTTATTTTGTTACTCAAGAGGTAAGGAAAGGATAATTTCATATATAAGGAAGGGAATTTCAAGTGAATATATAACGATACACGCCCGATAGACTTTATCGTAATAACGTTAAAGAATATATCATCGTTTTTCTGTCTAAAGAAATAAAATATTAATCGCTTTTCTGCTTTGCATCTGCTGAATAAAGCTGAAAGTTTAATTCCTAGAGAACCGCAATGAAAATAATTATTTCCACTAAGATGACATTGACCAGAGTACCAAAGTGAATTGGTTATGTAACTCATTAAATGGAGGATTGTTTGCAATTATCTCAGCAGCCTACGGGTTAAAATTTATTGTGTCTGATGAATTCTAACATCAAATTTATTTCACTAAGTAATTTTAAACTATTGGTTGCACTTTAATTTAATTGTAAACCAGAGGTTTGACCGTGTTCATTGATGAAATAAGTATTAAATCCAGTGCTAGTAAGGTACTGTTGTTATTATTACAAGTGACTTTCTATTTATCGGAGCTGGGAACTTTTGAATGGTGGATATAAGGAGTAATGCTTGATTCACTCTTTTTCTTAATCTCCAGATTAATTAATGTTTGTTCTCCTCTTGTTATTAATCTCCAGATTAATTAACCGATCTTATAATGTAAAAGATTTCGTAGTTTTGTTTAGCTTGAAAGGTGTTTCATTTGACAATTTTCTCTATTGTTTCTGATGTAGCGCAAGTCCATCTAGTTCATTCATTTTTCATCGGACAAAGCTTTTAAGGGACTTTGTGAATCAAACATGCACCTTTAACAGGAAACTGGGCGGGAAAATACATCTACAGAGTACAGCCCCTTTAACAAAGCACTGCTCTATAGACTCTAGCTTAACGTTTTTGTGTTGCCCTAACTCATTGCGGAAGTTCTAGGCTATATAGGCTATATAGGCTATATAGGTGATACCTTTTGAAAACAGAAAATCTATAAAATATTGAGACACATGTTGCACTCAAGTTATGTTTTTAAAGACTCCACCAAACATGAAACTCAGCAATTGTGCAGTTTACACAGACCCATTTTTAAGCTACGGGTAAAGATTTCAGTGCTGAATTTTATAATTATTTGTTATAATTGGAAGGTCGTCTTCTTCTATGCAGGAAGGACTCTTGTCTGCAAACACCGAATTTAGTCATGTGTGCAGATCAAGCAGATTGGGTTGATTCAGTCTTCCTGTATTTTCTCCGAGGAACAGACTAACCAGACTGCGCATATGCTCAACCTGGATAGGCTAAGCACGCCATGCTACAGTTTCATGAAAGGTTTTTTTACTGCCATCTAACGGCCACTTGTTGCATATAATACCCATTGGGCCATTCAGGGGTTAAGTTTTAAAACTTATAAATAAATACTCCAATTTTCATTCATTTCATAAAACATGTAAATTTATGAATTTAGTCTATTTCTGAAGATTTTTATTTTCTATCTAAAGGATTCTTAAATATCCCTGAAAACAGATGTCTGCTGATTGGCCGTGTACAGTACTTGAACACAATAGAATCTGCTTTGGAAATATTGCATATCATAGGCTTAAATTGATCAATCTTACTCTCTTACCTCTGCTCCGAGGTTTGTATAAATCCTATTTCGTAATATGCGTGTGAATGGAAAACATTGAAAAACATCAGCTTAAATAATCTCCGAATAATACATTGAGAACCAGAAAACTCTGGAATAGGAAAACAACTTTTTACTCAAGTTATGAATTTAGATAATCCAATAAACATGAGACACAGTAATAGTGCAGCGTACTCAGACCTATTTCACACATTTAAAAAGTTGCTGGTAAAACTATTTGCTTTGTGACACCATCAAATATCTGGTTATCACTTCTTCATGAATCTTAGGATTTTATTTATCTGCAAAACTTTAATTCTTAACCTTTATACACTGGAAAGCCTGGAGAACCCAAAACTTAAAAATTCAGATTCGTATTTTAGTAGCTAAACTCTCGTCTAAGAATCTTTTTTTAGAACCCAAAAAATTAGTTTTTTTCTACAGGGTGTCCAAATAAACATGGGAATTTAGAAACGACTTGAATATTGTCTTTGATTTCTGATAATTAATAAATGACATAAAATGCATCAAAAAAAAGATTGAACTTTTAATGTGATCAACCTTCCTTTTATCTTTCAAATTGACGGAGGTATAACAAATTTGAACAGTTTTATTGATTTTTAATAAACTGGAATCTGGACAAACTTCCTGATATTTCTGTCAATTTTGAAGCTTAAAAAATTGTAGACCACATTTTGGATTTCCCGATACCATTAGTTTTCGGTGTTAAATGTTTTATATGTGCTACTGCAAATTCATCCTTAAGAAATAATCCCGCTTCAAGCAAAGACGATTTAGAAGTTGTCATTTAATTGCCATGTTAATTGGGACACCCTGCAAAATATGAGAATTTTTTTATTAAATCTGAGAATCTATTTCTTGAATCTGAGAATATATTTCTTGAATCTGAGAATCTATTTCTTGAATCTGAGAATCTATTTCTTTAATCTGAGAATCTGTTTCTTGAATCTGAGAATCTATTTCTTGAATCTGAGAATCTTTTTCTTTAATCTGAGAATCTGTTTCTTTAAAATAAGAATCTAGGTTCAAAAATCAAAAAAGTTTTATTTAAAATCTATTTCTTAAATCTAAGAATTTATTTATCACATCTTAATCTAAGAATATATTTCAAAAATCAGAGCATCTATTTCTAAACTCAGATAATTTATTTCTAAAATCTGAGAATCTATTTCTAAAAATCTGAGAATCTATTTCTAAAAATCTGAGAATCTAATTCTAGAATGTGAGAATCTGATGTCGTCAAGTATGTTTGAAGTATAAACTATGCCTGCAACATCTGGCTTTATATTATCCTTGTAAATCTTTTAGCAAATACTTTACAACCCTGGCAAAAGCTTGCTAAACATCTTCTTCATATAGGAAGGATGAAATATACAATTCTTATTCAATTCCGGTTTAGGAGTTAATTCAAGATGAAAATTTTACGTACTACGTAGTACGTATGCACATTGAACGTCTCCTTGTATCCTTGTACCCTTGTACCCTTGTACCCTTGTACCCTTGTACCCTTGTACCCTTGTGCCCTTGTACCCTTGTACCCTTGTACCCTTGTACCCTTGTACCCTTGTACCATTGTACCATTGTATCCTTGTATCCTCTTATTCTTGTATCCGTATATCCTTGTATCCTTGTATTCGTGTATCCGTGTATCCTTTTACCCTTGTATCCGTGTATCCTTGTACCCCTGTATCCGTGTATCGGTTTATTCTTGTATCATTGTATCCGTGTATTC